GGGAGGCAGGCGCTGCCCGCCGCGCCGCATGGGGCAGGGTGCTGCAGGCCCAGCTCCACCTGGAGGCGCGCGGGCCCGGCCGCCGCTCCGAGGGCGGGAGCCTGGCGCAGGCATTGCCCGGTGTGCACATTGGTACACGGTGCCTGTGCGCACACCTACATCCACGCTGTCCTGGCCGGCTTCACCTAGCTGTGCCCAGGTTCCTGTGGTAAGGCCGAGTCCAATCACAAAAGTACCTCCAATATTTTGGTATATTAAATAGATCCGAAGAGTTTAATTCCTGGTGTGGCGTGTGGGCGTATAGCAGGAGGGGCCATCTGGGTAAATACGATTTGACTCCATACAGCAATGGGCAAGAGCAGAGGCAGGGCCAGGAGGAACCGCGCAGCATCGGTGCTGTGGGTAAGTACTAACCTGTCATCAGCGCCTGGCGCGGTGTTCTATCATCTACTGCACTCCTGAATCTGATCCCGAGTGCACCGAGTGCCTGACGATCACGTGTCAATAACAACTATGTGGACAAACTACGTGATTAGGGTCAAACTATGGGAACAGAGCAGGCTTCCCTGCAATGTTGATTTGACTGAACATTGCTACAACAAACTGGTTTTTTTGCAACTGTCCCTGCAATTGGGACAGGGGTAGGAAAATATGACAGCTACGTTAAAAATTAAGACTGTGGTATTAGGAATTCTCAAGATGTTCAAGCAAGCCCTGAAGTTAAGGTGCACTCAAAAAAGCCTTACAAAATGACCCATGTTTCTACAGTCCAGTATTATTCTAATTCAGGCTGCACATCATGTCAGAACTTTTCTCATTACAAATATTTCACGTACACCCTCTTACTTCCTCTCAGCAGCTGTATACACACCAGCTGAGGCCTGAATTTATACTGAAATGAGTGCTCACGTTTGGCTGAGGGGCCTTGAGGCTTTAAAAAGAGCCAGAGGTTTCACCATAAAGACTTCACCATTCCCCCTTTTAACTAAGGCCTGGAAAGTAAAATACACACATTTCCAAAAGACAGAGATCGTCTGGTAAAAAGGAAGACCAGGTATTCTGGGCACATGGTAATGAAGAATCCCTTCAAACACAATTATCAAGGCTGAAGGAATGCAGGCCAGACACCAGAGAATACACTTTGTGGTTTTTGTTTGTTTTTAACTAAAACCCCTTTGTTCAAAGACTAAAATATAAAAATCCCAAATCTTGAGAATCTCTAAGGTTACTGTATCCTAATGACAGCACTGACAGAGTACTTACTGCTTTGCCAATAGAAAAATAAGTACAATCACACAGCATGAGCATGGCACCACAATATTTATTTACAGCACATACATATATTTGTTTTATTAATATATTTTCCCCTTTTTGATGATACCCAGATTAAAATGTCCAAGCCTATAAAGAAAAGATTCTTCAAATAAATAAGAAACAGGAAAAGCCATCAGCTACAGGACACCATCTGCTTCCAGAGTCCTCTTGTAAAACATGCCCAAGTTAGTTAATAGAGAGTACGTTTACAATAACACACTGACACTATTCCAGCTCGTCTGCTCACATGCTGAACAGACAGCATCTTGGCACAGGAGACAGACATATGTTCAAAAAAGAAAGAGGCAGTTGTCACAGTTTCGTCTGACTTTACATAGAAAAGAGCTCCTTCCTCAGCAAAAATGCCTACAACTAACTGCACTGTTTTCGAAGGAAAAACACCCGTCTACTGTCTCACAAACAAACACGACAGCAAGCACTCCCGCCGTGGCAGTCCATGCTGTACTTTGATCAGAGCACACGACTACAGTGCTCCTCCGTACGGCCCCCGAATCAGGCATGTCCTCGGCGCTGTCCTCCTCAAACACCAGCCTCTGCGCTCGCACCTTGTGAGGAGCTCAGCCAAGGGCCATGGTTGCTGCTCGTCCTCCTTCCCAAGTTTTGCTTTTAAAGTGCCTGCTCTGAAGTCAACACAAGCTGAAGATACCCGAAGGTTCCTGGGATCAGCATCTGGCCAAACCACTGATGAAGGCTGGAAGTGACACATCACACAGAGCTCTCAGAGGAGACAGATGGCTTCCTGTTACACCTTCCTCCCCCCTGTGGCAGGTGCTCACAGGGAAGGTGCTTGCACAAAAGCTGCAGGGCCCTGTCTTCCAAAGCAGGCTGAAAATCATTTTACTTTCAAACTGGAAGCAAGGGATGTGTTTTGGTTAGTCTGGAGAACATGTTAAATACTGTAAGTATTACGGAAGTGCTAAGTACTGGAAAACCACTAACTGGCCCAAGAAGGAAGGGCAGGAGCCCGTCCTTGCAGGCCAGCACGTGCCTGGCGGCGCGGCCTCCTCCACAGACCCCCGTGCGCTCCGGGCGTGTGGCCAGCGGCTCCTGCACAGAGAGGCATCGGGGTACAGTGTTTTCTGTACCCAATTCAGAGACTTCGGCAGACTGCTTTCATCCTGGAAGCGGGATCCCAGCCAAATGACTTAGCAAATGACTTCTAAGTAACTCAGAATATTTGTTATTTTACTAATTATGCCTGTCAGGGAGGCTCCTGGCTAGCTTCTTATCCTGAATTTCAGCAAGCACTGAAACTAACTGACATTTTGTTAGCACTTGGTTTCCTACCTGCATAATATATTTTGAAATTTAAGGTAGTGTTTTGAACTTTTTGCTTTAAAAGAAAAATGGAGCAGTTCCGGTTTTTCTCTTCTCCCCACAGAAAGGGATAATCTTCCTAGTGCCTCCAAACCTTAGGATGGAATTGCACGCTTAATCTTTTCCAATAAGAAACTTAACTGAAATAAATTGGCAATGCTCAATTCTCCATTCACATGGATGCAAACCAAAAGCAATTCCACAGCAGGGACTGAGAGCCCTGAAAAGGAGAAAGCCATTTCCACAGCATAAGATTTTTGGCTTCACCCACATAACTCAACTCAAAAGGTTCTGAGCATGCAGTGTCCAGAAATATATGTACCAATATTTACGCTTAATGTACAATACAACAGGCACTTGGCTGAAGCCATCTGCTAGATCCAGCAAATCATGAGCTAAAGCAACCCTAAGAAGCAATCTGCCTTCTGCTTCTACTGACACCAACTCTCCCATTATTTCCTAGATGGTTCAATCCCCATTGAATTTAGATTAATTTAAAAACAAGAAACCAAGACCACTGTTACCCTGCTTTCCAGTTTCCCTGGCAGCCCACAGTGTTTCTTTTTTATTGTGATTGACAGCAAGCTAATAGCACAGACCTTAAGTCTTATTTAATAAAATTTGTTTGTACAAAGTAGTTTGTTAAATTTTTGTTTTCAATTGGAAGCATGATTTGCCTACATATGCAGTAGTTTAGCACTCCAAGTGGCATTTAGTCCTCAAGTCATAAAGCAGTCAGTTGGGCACTAATGCACATCAGCTTTGCAAGTGTTCAGAATATTCTGTCGCGTTTTAATCAGAGTTAAAAGGGCATTTCAAACATAACACTCAGGAGTTGAATACAAACAGGAACTGAATCCTCCTATGTCCAGCTGTGTGTGCATAAGTGAGATATACAGGTCTCACAAAATAAGTAGTAGTAGTAAGACATTATCAAAAAATATATATATAGTAATAAAAATATCCTCATAGTGCCGCCATTCTAATGGCAAAATAAACCTCTGACCAAGGTTGGAAAAACTTTGGGGCTTGGAGGGCTGGAGAGTTTTGGCAGTTTCAAAGGTTGTTTTGTGTGTTGTTGCTGTTTTGCTTTTAAACTAATTCAGCAATATGGTTGTCATACAATTATTTTTAGCAAGACTAGCCTTAAAATAAAAGGTCCAGCCTGTATGAAATGCAACCCACTGAATTGGTAATGCTATAACGCAGTATTGCAGCACTTCACATCTGCAGTATCGCGTCCGCTGTTACAAGAAAAGCACACTCTTAGGAAGCCCAGGCAGCCAGCTGCTTCATATCATCTTCATCTTCTGCTCTCTTCCTGGTTGATGCTGCAGAGAGAGATTAAGAACAATCACTAACTAATGCAACAAAGAAACACATTTTATTTGCTAGCATGAAGACTTGCACAGTGCTTTTCAGTATGACCATACCATACTCATCCCAATTTACCGAGTAGCAAGCTAAGCACAGGCAGCAGAGCGGGGAAGCTGTGACTGCCCTGCCCCACCTGCAGCTCCCACACAGCTCCTCCTGCAAGCCTCCCCCAGCAGATACGTTTCTCCCGGGAGAGCCCGGGAAGGAGCCCCCAGGGCTGCCCGCTCCCTCGCGGCAGGCCTGGCGATGCTGCTGCCGAACCGCGGATACAGATCCCGCACGCAGCGCCGGCCTCCCAGCAGGCGCACCCACATCTATGGGGTTTGTGCATGAGAAGAAAGACATTCCTAAACACACTTTGCTCTGTACCAAAATCCCACACATTTTCTCTCTGTGCTTTTTCCCCTCTACATACAGCTGCACAGGCACTGCGGCTGTGCGACCACGGGGCTGCAGGCACCACCCTCAGAGACCAAGCGGGGAGAAGGGCACGGGAGACCTGAGCTGCAGCCTCTGCTCCACCGCAGCCCACCGAGCACCTTGGGAAGGTCCCCGGGCCTTCCTCTGCCTCAGCAGCCCCATCTAGAAAGTCAGGGGGCAACATGCATCTCCAGGGAAAAGCGGTACAGAGCCATTCACTGTTGTTGTTGTTATCTCACTATTTCTGTGTAATAGTAAGCATCCAGTTTTGGAAAACATGAGCCAGTTCAGCCCTTGCTAAGCTTAACATTCAGGTATTAAGCCCTTGCTTAATACTTAGACTATACAAATGTACCCAGCTAAGTTCACCTGAAGCAGTCACACAAACAGATGAAGTAGCAGATCTAAGATAATAAGAAGTCCATGAGGTTGGTGTGAATTTAATAATACCATCAGCTGGCAGAGCAGGATCTGGCTGAGGATGTATGAGCACGCCCTAAGTGCCAAGACTGATTTTGCACTTCTTCCTAAATCCATTTTTTTTACTAGCTGTTGTGCAATTTACATGAGTAGATGAGGCCACGATCCCAGTTTGAACATTTTAAACCTCTTCTCAGAAATTTAAGTGCTGTCTGCCAATAAGAGTGTTTGGGCTGAGCTGGTCCAGGTAACCTGTTCAACAGCAGAATGTACCATAACAATTTGCACTATGCGCATGCTGTCCTTGCCACCAAATATTTATATTCTTTAACTAGCATCAGTGCACAGTCACTTTCTCTGTTGAAAAAAAGGCAACAGGGACACAGTGCAAGGTACTGTTAACAATTGCTTGTCTCTGACTTAATTAAAAACAAACAGAACTGAAGAAAAATATCAGATTAGTGCTCAGTGTCAGATAACCCTGCTCTGTAAGAAGCAAGTGAAAGATGCCAGTATTTCTTTAAATTTGTACTTCCTCTTGCATTCTTCATTTCTAATTAAAATACCAATGGCAAACACAAAACCTTACCCTATAAAGGAGGTCTCTGACACAAATATTTTGAATCTGGATCAGACTAATTCAAAAAAGATGAAGGATCTACTTGCCAAAAAGAGAGAAAAAAAAATCTTTCCACTCTTCACTGATCTAGCTACACACTTCATAGAAGATGTATCAGCACATGTGAAAGACCAAGTTCCCCAAGTTCATCTCCTCAAATCTATAAAGAATTTAGCTCTAAGTGTTTTTATATACAGCAAACCAGAATTCTATTTCCACTGATAAACAGATACAAACAATACTATAATGAGGCTATAATAGTTTAAAAGTTATATCAAACGCATATCTGGAACTCGCTCTTCCTCTCCCCCTGCTCGCAGCACGGCCCAGTCCTTGGCAAGGGGTTTCGGGAGGCAGCTCACCGGGGCGCGCGGGCAGCGAGCTGGACGGAGCGCTCGGCAGCCGCACGTCTGCCATCCGCTTATTCAGCTCTTCTTGCTCCAGTTCTTCTAGCTCTGCCAGCAGCTCATCCTAAATTCAAGGAAAGCATAATTTAAAAATTATTTGCCCTGCCAGTGATCCCAGTCAAGTGTTTAATTTAATTTTAAGTGTTTAATAAGTGTTTTAATTTGTTTTTGTGTTTAACTACCATAAAGCAAAGCGCTACTGATTTAGCAGTTCATACCTGAAAACAAACATTGGAAAACAGCATATTACCAGCACAACTTTTACTAAATGTGGGATATAATAGCAAATCTGATTTGAAAGTTGAAATAATATGATTCCTCCCGTTTTAGAAAGCAGTCAGCTCTGCTGGTTATAACATAGGCTGGCATTAAATGTGTTATGTTACTGCTCTAGCAGATCAAGTGCAGAGTTATATACGATTTTAAAGCACCACTGAAATCAGAGCTGTCCTCCTGAGTCTGGTTATTCACTCTTGATGCATGAAACACTCTTGGGGGTTTTAGCTGGAGAAGCTCATTTGGACAGATGTTCTAATCCACTTTTGGAATACTAAAAAAAAAAAAACCTTTATACTTAAAAAAGCCAGAGACTTATTCCTTGACAGAAGCATCCAAAAAAAGCAAGCCAACAACTACATATTTGCACAGAAACAGACCTCTGCCACTTAGACAAAACAGTTTAGAAAGAAACAATGGACAAAAGTGGCTAGGGCAAAAGGAAGATCTGCCAGGGTTCAAAATGAGCTTTCCCTATTTTTTTTTTTCCCCAACATGGAAATTAAAATGACAGTGACAGAGCCCCTATACACCTTCCTATAATTGCTCTCCTACTTTTATTTCAAGGCTGAAAAATGCTACTTAGGCAGACTGACCTTATGCACAGTGCGAATCTCAGAATACCATTTAAAAGCTTTGGTATCGGGTCTGCACTTGATGCTGAGAGAAGATCTCTCAAAGAAATGTGCCAGGTGGGACGCTATGTCTAACTTCAGCACGTAGTAGCACAAATGTCTCTGTATTTTAAGTGCCTAATTAAGTGGTGTAAGTACAAACTTCGTAAAAAGGAAGTGTCCCAGTCCTTGAAAAGTCAGTGTAAACAGGTACTTCTGAAGACCACCAGAGAGCCCCTAATCCCCTCGCGCCCAGAATTAGGCCTTAACTCCCTCCGTTGAGTGAATAAACAACCAAGAGGTGACGTCGGCCTTGAAGAACTGGCTCTCTTTTAGAAGAGGCGGAGGAAGCAGTGATCCCTACCTTTGGCATAACAGGGGAATGGCCAGGACACACGCCCTGGAAGTGGCACGGCCAGGTTTTAAGTTTAGCAGCTTAAACTTAAACTGTATTTCCCACAACTCAAGAACTGCTCTACAGCTAAGCTGGGGTAAATTGTAATAGATGCAATGAATCCTGTTGAAACCAGGCCAAAACAAGAACAGAGTAGTGAAGAGGGGAGCAGAATGCCCACTGGAATGGGTATCAAATCTCAAAAATCTTCTATTTGCTTATGAAACAGGCCTCCAAGCAAGGATCATCTCTCCCAAATAAGTATCCTGCTCAGGTAGAGTGGATGTTTTTTTGTATTCTTCATTACATATACTGTGTCATCCCAGGAACAAAGCACTCTTAAGGGTTTTTATTTATTTGGTGAAGTCTAAATCACATTTCAATTATCTCCTTGCACCTATGGTACACAGGTGAAGAACAAAAGCATGTGGTCAAAATGCCCTTTAGAAATAAATATCATCCTGCAACACAAACCACCCACAACGCAATGATTACTGAGTCATACTGAGTCTAGATCCCTACAAGTTAGCACGGTGCTCAGTGACACTGCACTGCTGCTTGGGATAGAGGGGTTTTTCAGTTGCCCAAGGCCCACTTTATACAGCCTGAATCCCATTCGTTATGCCAGTGTTCACTGGTGCTTCAAGAAGAGTTCAACTGCACTGAAAATGAAAAGACAGGAAAGCAGACAATGGAAAAAAAACAAAACAAACCAAAAAACACCCCACGGCTGTTCCTCTACAAACTACCAAAATGTTGTATGTTGAATAAACTGTCAAAAAACAAGCAAAGAAAAAGGTATATGCTGTATCACATTTGCTCTTAATTTGGGAACAGAGGCATGAATTATTTGGGAGTGTTTGTGGGGTTCATTGATTCTTTATGCTATTAATTAAATGAGTCCTAGTGCTTAGTCACTTTAAAGCACATTAAAAACAACACAAAAAAATGGCTGTGATACTGAACCTAATTACTGGCTCACTCTTCCACCTCTGGAATACTATTTGAATATACTGGATTCTTGAGTACTGAACCATACTTGGCTGGATGAAAAAAACAGCAATGGCCTGCTGAGATACACAAAATCAAGTTCATGGACCCTATAAAGCTCCTGCAGCAAAATTTCAGAAGTGTTCATTTAGTTTTCAAGAGAAAAGAGCTCAAGAATTGAATTTTCATTGCTTCCAACAGAAATAACTTCTATTCATCTATTTCTGCAGATATTCAGGAAAATACAGAAGGGATCCTCCTCTCCATGAAAAAAAAACCTTGAAAATCTGTCCCAAATATTCAGAGTTGTAAGCAATAACCTTCAATATGATGGTGCAGTAATAGAAATAGTAAAGCCAGTGTACATCTATTTGGAGCACAACAAATTACATGTTTCTACGCGCATGTGCGGCAGTAAAAGACTGCATGCTTTAGTGATCTCCTCCTTCCACAGCTCAAAAGAGAATAACAAGTTCAGTCAAAACTTCCTTTAAAAAAAAAAAGTCCTCCACAGGCTAAGGTAGATTAAGCAATTTTATAATCACATCTTTTGAAAGAAAAAAGGTTGAGCAAATCATTGCAAAAGAAAATAACCATTCGGTCATTTTATAGGCAAAACTCTCAAGGTTTACTCAAGTACTAACCTCATCAAACTCATCAGCAAACCCAGCTCGGTTTGAGATGGCTTCTGAAATTTCCTGGGCAATATCTTGCTGTTCAGTGATATCTTGCATCAAATCATCAATTTTATTTACGTCTCTGGTAAAATAACATGGAAACAGTTTTGAAAGATCATTCAAATCCTACAGAAGAGACTCAGAAACACATTTTTCAAAACAGACCATACATACAACCATGGGCATAAAAAGAAAAAGCAGAACTCAGGGGAGAATAATTTCTTTTAGCTACACCTTAAATTTTCCGGGCAAGCTGCTGTGTGTCGCAGCTGGCCAGTCCAATTCCTTCCCCTTTGGAATTACAGCAAAAGCCATGAGCGCAGCAGCCGGCACTTTGCTCCCACTCTGCACTTCTCCTGTGCTCGTGAGGCCACGGCCACCTTCCCTGGGCAGACCCAGCTCCCTGCCGAGGTCAGCACCCTCACAGAGCCACCATTTCTGATCTTCAGCTTTCAGCCAGGAGAGAACTTCACAGGGCTATTCCCCATTTCAAAGCTTCCCTTTATTGTTAACTTCACCATTGTTTCAGTTCCTGTTTATTCTCCCCCAACAGCCTTTTCTGACTTAACTCTGTTTATTCACGCAGGAAAACACTCCAACAAATAACACAGAACATATAAAAATACTACATATACAAAGATATTACCCTCTCATTATTCAGGTCTAACTAGCACTTTGAGTTGCACAATCCAGCCTATGAACTTGGAGGAAAAAGAGTTCAGTTCGTCTCTTTAGTCTCTTCTACTTCTGTCCTGGATTTTTCCAGATCTCTACTGCCAAGGTAGATTTAATTCTGCTGTGCTACATGGCTATCTTTAGATAACTGGACTTCCTACCAGGAAGGGGGAGATATTTTTCTGCCAAACATAACATTACAGCACCAGCAACACTGCTGACATTAAATGTTTGAACCAAAATGAAGTCAAAACTGGCTAATAAGATACAACAAAACCAAGTGATAGAATGGTCTACAGGTGTTTAGTAAGCTCATTTTGAAAGCCAGTAGAAACCACTTACATATTTGCATGCACTTTTTTCATAGCTTGTGCAGCATAACCCATGTTCTTGAGCACTTCTGTGTTGGTATGGGAATTTTCCAGTGCTTCTCTCTGGAACTCAATGGTTGAGAGTGTTCCATCGATTTGACTCAACTGTTTCTCATACCTCTTTTTTCTCTTCAGTGCTTGTAAGGCAGCTGGAAGGCAAACAGGCAAGGTACATGTATATTTTCATGCTGAAATGCAAGCACAAGAAGTGCAGTAACAATCTGACCTGGAGAAGTGAGAAGTTGCACCCTCCTACCTTACTAGCAGAGAGGCAAACTTTGACCACACCAGATCAGCAGCCTGTTCATCACCAACATGCTGTTGCATGAACATGCTGGGGGGGCTCTTTTAGAATAACTCCTTTTAGAATCACAGAGAAGAGCAGCTTCTTCCTCTGCTGCAGGACATCTTGAATTCCAACCTGTGCACACAGGCAAAGCAGGAGATGACAGGGAGGAAAAAGGAAAATGTCAAAGAGGGATCGGGAAGGAAGGAACAGGGTAAAGAAAGAAAAAAGAAGTTTTATGGCAAAACATAAGTAAGAACTAGTGAAGATAGAGTAAGAAGTTGGGTCATAATAACCATCTCTCGATCAACGTTGCTTTCTAAACAGGGCCTGAGAAACAGAAAAAGTGCAACAGAAAGCCCTAATCATCTAACCAACAGGTGGGTTAGATCAGAGGAAAGATTATCATTTCTTGAGCTTTCAGTTGTATTTTTTCCTTTAAGGGCTTGTCAAAATGAACCTTTAAACTTTCCAACTTGAAAATACATAGGTCTGTGCACAACGCCACAGTCAAATCCAGCTACTCCCTATTGCCTTTGTAGGTCAGTAAAATAGCTTAGCAAATAGAAAGCAGAAATAAGCAGCAAACTTTGCCCATAGTAAATCATTACCAGCATTAACACACATGACAAACAGGAGGAGAGAAAAAGGCTTCATTTAGTCTTTGGGTGTGGAATACAATCCCGTCCCAAGCGTTTCCGCGCAGGTGTCCTTTCCAAACCACCCAGTGCCAGACAAGGGCAAGGTGTTGCAGTTAACTCCTTGCATTTTCAATGCCAGCTGGTATCCCCATGTCCTTTCTTCTGCCTCACATTTCATTTCTAAATCGGCAAACATCTGCAGCCACCCAAACTCAAACAGCTCACTACAGGGATAGCTGCTGGTGTCCTACTCAAGCTGTTGTTGTGTGCAGTAACACACATATCATGGTACCCAACTTTTCAAACAAATCCAGGTGCCCTGCAAGAAACAGGCACGGATTTATTGTAAGAACACTAAGGTGTTCTGCACACTACTGATAAATGCTTGAATCAGCATGGTGCGATTTACTCCTCATTGGCTGCACAAGCGCAAGTATTTGCTCAGCCTGTGAAATACGATGTCACAGTTCTAACATATGCAGTAAAATGTTCCAGGACAATGATCCACAACCTCAGTGGATTAACTGCCATCTTCAAGTTGTGGATTTTCCCGAGTTTTCTGATGGTCCAAAGATCATATATATTCCAAAGATGATTAATGAATCCCTGATGACATGGTGCAAATAACAAATGGCAGGATTCTGATTCATATAGGCAATTCTAAAATATACCTATTTGGCTAAATTTAGTAGTCTTCTAGCTACTTATTAGTATCCTACTTAAGTAACTTGTGGCAGTGTTTGCACACCATCCACTTCCCTCTTCAGCTTCAGTTGCATCAAAACTCGATCAGTTTGAAGGCCAGAGGATCCAGCTATATTTAATGATTGTGCTGGAGAAAACTCTCCTCTGCACCAAAAAGTTAACTGGCTCATTCAGTTCAGTTCAGTTTGAGTAAATAACAATCATGGGAAAACATTTCTAGCCAATGTTTTTCAGAAATGGGACTCTTCCCTACTGATGTTGTTATTATTGACTGCTCATAGAGAAAATGGATTTCCTCAATTACATGCAGAGCAGTTGTTTTCTAAATCCTGCAGGTTCCTGTGTAAGATTTAATTAAACCCCACCCAAACTAAGGAATCCCAGAAGAATGTAAACTCGCTACGACTTCACCTATTCATAAACAGCTCTTCCTAACTACTGTATTGCAACATCTCACCTTTATTAATTCTCTTATGTTTTATAGTAAGCATTTGAAAGCAAATCAGTTCATATTTCCTCCCTGTATTCCAGGATATTACGTATTCCATCCCCACACTGTATGTTTTTCTCACGTACATTAAATTAAGCCTGAATTTGCAAAGACCCCCACTGGCCAGGGTTTTGTAATCACAGCTACTATAGGTAGGATATGAGCATTTTCTCACTGACTTGAAATCTTATTTTCTACATTTTTCAGATTGTCATAAGCTTGAAGTGTTTTCCATACTACATATGTAAGCATGTTAAAAACTGTGTGCAACTCTTCCAAGAACAATATAGAAACTCTTCCCAAATGATTTTGCATTATAATAAACAGCAGACAAAACATAATTTCCATCAAAAAATAAAGAAATTGAGTGAGTGACAGTGATGAACTTACTTTACCAAATGTCAAAGAATGAAACTGCAAAAGGTTCTTGCCCATTCCAAAGATTTCAGAAAAGGAAGAGAGTTGGGAAGGAAGAATCAATGGATCATATGACAAAGTAAATGTAAAACAAATTTAACTAGGAAAAGATGATGCTCTTTTCCAGGAAAAAAGAATATCACATTCAGCTCCTGCATTTCACGGCAACACGGGTAGTGGTTGCCTCAGTTTTGGCCTCCCTCGGGTACCCTGCCTCTGGACTTGCTTTGGAGCAAGCAGGACGCAGCTCACAACATTACAAACCACTGGTCTTGCATTTCGGGCTTTTAATATTATTTTCAAGATAAGTAGCTGGAGCGACAGTAGTCGGTCATGCCTATGAACTCAGAACTGCTTTCAGTAATATATGGAAGGGCAATTTCCAAACTCACTACGGTTTATTTTGTTAAGGAAGACGGCCTACCAGACAACAGGAATCCTGTTGTTGTCGCCTAGTTCTGGCACCTTCACCATGTCTCACGACTGATCAGAACAAAATACACAGCACTGTGTATGATGGTAGCACCCGCCAAGTTCAACTCTGGTAGCCACCAGTAAGGGAACAACTATCTGAAGTAGAAACAAGAGCATCGTCAAGTTAACCCTGCAATTCCTAGGGGTAACTGGTTGAAGAAGGAAATAAGCATTTCTTTAGAAAAAATAACGTTACTGTGAAAGTACTGCACATCACCCTCAGATACACTGCACAAACTCAAACGTCACTTATGACTAAATGCTTATAGCTCCTCACCCTCCCTGAGGAAAGCTCCCTCTTGCTTTACTGCTGGTGTCTATTTGCACCCACTGAATATGTTGGCAAAACTACCTTTTCTCATTTATCTTTAGATAAAGGGATCACAAAAAAAAATACAAATGGCAGACAGAGGATGTAACTTTGAAAATAATTACTATTTGAATTCATAGCACATAGCTGCCATAAATAACTAGGAGCTTTCACTTCCTGGCAAGAACAAGAATATATTCGGTTAAAAAAAAAAAAAAAAAAAAAAGTCAGTGTACAGACAGGTGACCTTGTTAGGAAATCATCTTGACTACCAAAGATATATGTTTGCAGTGTTCTGTTAAATTTGATCTGCCTTTGCTTTCATTTCTTCGCTATTAGTAGCACTAATAGAGGATTGGCTATCAGCTTATTCAGAGAAAAAAAAAAAAAGCCCTACTTTAAATATGATCATGAAGAGCAAAGAACAGTGGCAGTAAATCACAAACATCGCTGATAAAAAGTAGAGGAATCCCTGCTGTGCTGTTTAACTCAGCACCTACTGCTTAATAACACGCGTCTCTAGTTGCCATCGCAATAGAAAGAGGCCGTGTTGGACATGAACTTAAATACACAGTCTCTTTCTCGAGGCTAATGCCAACTCTCAGGGCTTTCTGGTTTGGGCACATCAGTAATTTAGCCACCTCGGGTGAGATGAGCAAGACCCTCTTGTTACAAACCTGCTCCCACCCGCAGCTCTTCGGCCAAGAGGTCTTCCTGAGAATGCGCCAGGCTGCCTCCCAGGAGGATTCACCTCCACTTCTGTTCTGGGAGGAACCTGCAGAATACAGATCCTGACCGCTTTTAACATAATCCATATGTTTGTGACTTGTGACTGTTTCTCCCGCAAATTCTCCCACAACTGTGGCAATAATTCAAGAACAGTAGTGCACTTGATCCGTTATAACCATTTGCATTCCTGGCAGGATACTTTACGCATGATAGCAAAGAGAAAAGAACCACAGCTGAAAACCACCGGACAAAGACATACTAGAAGGCTTCTCCACACTGCTCTGCCAACAAAACCTCAGTCCCAGCCTGCCACGCACCCGTCTATAGAAGTGAGCCCTGTCTGCACTGACATGCAACTACCACAACACTGCCTAGTCCCTATAACCTGGTTACAACCAACTCATGGAAGAGGAATGCCACATGGCACAAGAGGTGAGCGGCAGCAGGTGTGTGCGTGGAGGGTGTAAAACGGAAGGCGAGGGAAGAAACTCAGAGGCAAAGGGATTACTGTAGGAGAGGGAAACAAACAGTGGTGATAAGGAGCAGGGGCTCTTTGGAGGACAGAGGTCAAACTTTCACCCTGGTGCAAGTTCCCTTTTACTGTCTACATATTCATACAAACAGAACTGCTGATCAACTGACTTAAAAACAAAACAAAAAACTACAAATTACAATCACAATTTCTGAATCCAGAAAGCAGTATGGAAAACTTTCCATACTGCCTCACTATCTGATGCTACACCTTAAGCAAAAGCACCGTTCCCTGTATTAAGGAGGCAGTATTATCCCACAGGCTAACTGAACAACCACCACAGTGGTGATGAGAAGCTTTTTCATTCCAAACTTATTAAGGAGGCAGTATTATCCCACAGGCCAACTGAACAACCACCACAGTGGTGATAAGTTTGGAATGAAAAAGCTTCTCTAGATGGAAACTGCACAGTGAAGACGAGGCTACTTCTTTTTTTCTAACCCATCACCAGCAAAAGACTACTTCTCGTCATTACGGATATGGATGTAGTGATGGAGAAGCAAAAAAAAAAGAACAGCTTGGCCTCTTCCCATTCCAACCCCTTCTCCCACCTCAAGATTACACAATTTCAATATTCAGTATCACTTCGTGTCCTTTAAACTTTCCTCTGTGACCTCCTAAATGCTGAAGACAAAAGGCCAGTTTGCAGGTGGAGTTGAGAGCTGAGCACTGTCTGAAACTAGCTAACATAACTAGGAAAACATACCCTAAAAGAACCATGATTTTTTACCTGGAATAGCAAGAGATTAAAAGGCAGTGCTAATTGTTAAAATACTGCTTTTCACAAAATAATCTCTGCAAGAGGAACTTGCACATGTTCCTGCTCAGAAAACCTTCAAGTGGTCTTGTTACAATGAGACCTTCATGCAGAACCCTGGAAACACATCACCCCATAAGCACAGCTAATTTCAGATGGGGTTCAGGAACTGCAGCCACACAAACTTCACGAGGAGGAAGCCAGAAGAATACTTAAGTGATGCTTCACATCCAGCTGCATAGCTAACATGTTACAGCTTTTAAATCAGGTTAAGTCTTCCGATGTCACATGAACCCATTCAAGAATGATTTGAATTCTTGCAAAATTGTTGGGGCTTGAATCTGATCTCGCTTGTGTCACTGTAACTGACTCAGACTCACATGCCTGAAAAATCAAATGAGATCATGCTAGCTTCCATGTGAAGATACTGCCTGTGCTAGCCTTACACACTCCCATTTTAAATTCCAGACACCTCTTGGCGATGAAGTTATGAAAGAGCATGTTAGAATTACCTGCTTTGGGTATATACCTGCTTGGTCCCTCTAACAAGACCATATAGATTAAAACTTGTATTTTCTCATTTGCCCATATGCCTACATAATGCTAGAATAGCAGCAATTAAAACCAACATAATTATTATAACATATGAAGGGCTGTATCTGGAGAATTAAGCTTGCTCACTAGTCTACCAAATTCTTTCATTTTGGCATAGTAAAATTGTATTATCCCACTTACACTCCATAGTTTTACTAACCTGCTGGCTTTTGTACCACTTTGGGCATAGTAAATTCCTCTTCTGTGTACTTGCCTATAGGCTACTGGACCAACGACTGAAAATAGCTCTCTTATCTTTCATATCACGCTGGGCCCAACAACCTGGTTTGAAGCACAACCCAGCAAACAAGTGCACAGATACAGCTTGAGAAGCAGCTTGCTGCAGCCCCACAGTGGAAACAGGTATCTAGAAGGGGGAAAAAAAAAAAAAAAAAGAGAGAGAGAGAGAGAACTGGCTACTCAAATGAAAGCACAGTGCAAAGCCAAACACTTGGAAACAGGGCGGATCAGCTGGGTTAAAGAGAAGCAGACTGGCCTTGCCCCCACAGCCACTGCTCCCTCCTAGGCAGCAAGCTCTGCTCTGCAGGTGCCCAGGCACTCGCTCAGCTGCACAGCCAGCCAACCCTGGGTGAAAATAATCTGAAGATAATCAGCACCTGCCCAAAGGGACAAGAGGGGCACTGCAGTGGGGACACCAAGTGAAAAGAAAAGCCTGCAAGGGGGCAAAGCCGGGAGGCTCAAGAGTTGCAGAGAGGGGACTCCTCTGCACTGTGGATCTGGCTTTACTCACTTGGACTTTTTGTGCCTTAAAATCTGCCCCATCTCTATCAATGTTTTGAAATCCCTTTCAAGTGCTGCACTATCAAAAATACATGAAAAGACCAAGCAAAACACCTTTAATGTGCAGCTCCTCGCAAATCACACAGCGTTAACCTATAGCAGTCTGGCAATTGAAAGTGCAGATTAGAGACCGGCTTTAAACTTCTCTAATGCGGAAAGCTTTCCTTCGGCTTCTGAGCGCGCAAAGAGAAGTAACTCCCGGCGCGGCGCGG